TTTTCTATAAATTATTGAAACGCTCATTTGATAAAATGTTTGGTTTATAAAATTGTTATTTAAAACGAAATTTTAAATTCAGTTACATGAATTATATGAAATGTAATAACTTTGTAACAAAAAAGGGAATAAACAATAAATCAATAAAGTAGTTTTTTGTATAGCCTAATAATTAAAAATTAATTATTTTTCATTCCTTTAATCGTGTTTTACTTATTTGAAATAGTAATTTGATGAACTTTAAAATACCTGTTAAACTGATTTGTTGAATTTTTTAAAATTTAATTATTTTTACTTTTTAAATACACTTGACAAATTACATATAAAAGAATTGAATAATATAAAAATCAAATATATTTTTTTAAAGCTGAAACAATGCCAAGTAATGAATTAATTAAAATATAAGTATGGTGACCAGATGGATATAGATGAAAAAGAGGACTTTATTTCAAAATTGTAGGACATTAGAACATTTAGGACAAGGATTTATTCACTAAGAAGAACGTAATTTGTTATCGAATACTCCATAGATTAACTCATTTATTGTAAATTTTAATTACTTACACGTCCACCCCCGAAAAAACTTCGAAATTCTTAAAATGTAGGACTTTCATGATGATTTGAAAAACTAGGAATTTCTCGGAAATGGGTTTGATCCGGATATATAGGACCTACTCCGTCACCAGTGGGGACAGATCTACATAGGGACAATAGGGCTTATGACCTGGACCTTAAGTGTCAAGGACCCAAAAATTGAATTATTATTATAAATTTTTAATACTTTTTCATTAACAATAAGCACTTATCATATAGTAAAAACTAATTAATAGGTTAGGTTTGGCAAAAATGGAGCCCGATTGGATTTCAATAAGACCTAGGCCCGGAGAAAACTAGATCCGCTCCTGGTCACCACATAACCATTTAACACTGATACGGGTTGAGGGTTTGCGCATCATCAACAGGTTGGCCACGTGGAGTTTTCAAGGTTTTCTTCGCGTGTCTAACACCTAAATAGGGGCCAGTTTCCTATAGAAAGTGCTCCCGGGAGCCACCCCCTGGCAGATCGCATATATGTATTGCATCAATCCGTCCATCCATCCCTCACCACCTAGTTGCTTCCATTGTGGACTTGACCAAACACATGCTGGATATGATTAAGAGAGGTCGTCTTAGTGTCCACAGGATAGAAAAAGTAAAAGCAGGCGCAATTCGCAAATGAAATATATACTGTACAGTACATATCATTTGTTTCAATGTTGGTGCCATTCTACAAATGCCCACTGTCTGCACTCCTGGCAAAAACCCACTCCTCAGATGTTTCTGAATATCTTCCATTGAAGTATACACAGTGTCTTTAATGTCTTCAATTTCTATCTCGACTTTCAACTTGGGTCTTTTCCCTATTTTCAGTAGACTTAGTTTAACTTCTCTTCCGATTGGACGAAAAATCAGAGGATAAAAACATACGTTTAAATAAATGAAATACTTTACAAAATTAACATTTATCATTGCACAACAGAGCTGGGGTAAGTTCAGCAGTATATGTCAGCTCACATCTTATGAAATATGTTCTAGCGTTGGCATAAGGCTATCGAAGAAAAACGCATTGCGTCCAGGGGCGCCTGTACATTGGGCACTTAGGGCACACGTCCCTTTTTTGCCTGGGTTGCCCTTTTCCATATCGCAAGGGGCCCTAAATTTCATTATCAACAAACAACAGAAAATCCATGACTTCTGGCTAGCCTATTCTGCAAATATAAAAGAAATTAACGAACAATATTAAATATTGTTCATTAGTTTCTTCTATATTTGTGGGACAATGGACAAAATGTCCCGCAACCAACTTTATGTAATTACTTATTCGTATTATGTTGACCAAAATCGCATTCCTTGTTTTCGAGGCCAAGTTAGTTCAGAATGCAACCAGCGCCATTTTGTGGAAGCGCTGATCCGAAGTTTAATCCTAGGGTACGTTCGTAAAGTCGAACGAGTAAAAACAAGAATGATGTCGTCATTGTTATTACTTTCGTTAGATATTTCGACCAATTCGTTTACAACAAAATGGCTGTCCCTTAAAATCGAAGTTATGAATGTTGCTAGTGCAGTCTTATCCTAAGTATTTTTCTTGGATTGCTTCAGGTTGATACCTATTTGTATCATTTTATTGTGGCCGTCAGCCATGATATGATATATTCCCTATATTTTATATTGTATTAGTATTAGTATTAGTATCTTTCTTTGTCTAAACCTTCTAGAACAGGGGTGGCCAACCTTTTCAGAAGGTGGGCCAAATTTCAGAAATAATATTTCCTGCCGGGCCACGCACCTAATTTATTTTTTTATTTTTTAATTAAAGTAAACAAGCAAGCGTGCTACAGCTTCAACCACATCGTCACTTCCCAGTAGGTGGGATCGTGGTCAAACACTTGAGTGGTTTAATGTAAAAAACACAAAAAATAGGTATATTTATTTTTTTGAAGAAAATAAAACATAACCGAGAATCAAACATATTTATTAGACAATTTAAAAATATTTAAAAGTGAGACATCTGACTTTGTTTTACAGAACTAAGTGCATCAAAATTGATCTCCACTAATGTTGTCGCTACACGCAAACAGTTTTCCAAATGAACATCAGTAATTCGATCTCGCTTGTGATTTGATGTACTTCATGCGACTAAAAAGCTGTTCACACGCATAAGTGTTTCCACATAGCGAAACCATCGACAGAGCATGTTTGTAAAACGCAGGATATTCATCCTTGTCCAAATACGTTTCATAGAACTCTTCCAAACCAACTTGATGAAATTTCTCCAACGTTTCAGGGTTTACTTACTTATAGAATCGATATGGTAGAACTGTAATTATAAATATGTTAAATATGTATTTTAACTTCGATTGCAAAATCTCTCTAGACGCATTGGCGATAACAAAACGAAACTACAGAATAACACGGAACTTTGTCAAGCTGGACTGAAAGTAGTTATGAGTATGAGCCCGATAGCATTGTGAGTTTCCTGAAAATGCCGAAGACCACAGAACATATATAGCTGAAGTCTCATATTAAATTTTATCAACACCTAACGTCGGACAAAAAACTAAGTAACATTGAGTGTCAAATAGCGGGATATTTGAAATAGCTAAAAATCTGAATTTTTCCAAAAATGAGAGATATTTCAAATTTCTCTTAGCTATAATTTAAAAATACATGATACGATTAACTCATGACGTAATGTTCTTTTGGTGATATGTACAATAAAGTTAACATTTACGTTCATTTGACCTAGCTCCGCGGGCCGCAACATGACTCCAGGCGGGCCGCACGCGGCTCGCGGGCCTCGTGTTGGCCACCCGTTCTAGAACTTTCTTTTCTCTAAACCTTCCTAGAACTTTCTTTGTCTAAACCCCTTTTGCCCTTGGGGGAGGATTACCCTCTTCGTAGAAATAAAGAACAAAGGAAAAGGGAGTGAGGCCCGGAAGAAAAACGGAGAGAAAGGGAGAACAGATTGAGTGGAGATCTCGAGTAGGTAGGAGGGAACAGAGAGGTGCTCCTACAAGTGAAGTGATCTGAGACGAAGCGATCCAGAGAGAGAGAGAAAAAAAGGAAGGACTGTAGACGAAAAGTCTACAAGTGAGAGGTAATCAAAGATAGTTCAATCCGAAAGACAAAGACTGTAGACGAAAGGTCTACAAATAAGAAGTGACCTAAAAATAAAAAGTGCAGAGAGAGAGAGAGATCATCGTGGGAAGGCCTCTTAGTCCGACGTGTTCTCCAACCAAGGGCTCATCGAATCCAAACCCGGGTATTTCTACATCTTTCCTTGTCTATCTCTATATCCTATATTCTTTCATCTTTAGTTATAAGTTAGTGTAAGTTAGCATAAGTTAGTTTAAGTAATTTTGGTCCTCGTCAGATTTTTGTTGCGTGGGTAATAGATAACTGTTTTCGAGGTGTACCATTGAGCGCCTGTGTACGTATAAAATTCGAAAAATTGTAAAGTTGGGATCCAATAAACGAACCTGTTCAGTAAGAAATATAATACAGTAGATCCCCCTATAAAACCGTTTCCTATAGTTATGATTCCTATAAAAATTGTGGCAGTATCCGTAAACAACGGTAAAAATAACTCGTATAATACGTAAAACGTCATCAGGCAGCCGAACTACTTTCCCGCCGTCCGTAGCGCCACGCTACGGACGTTTAGGCGGATAAATTGAGTTTAGTATCGTCTGTTCATATAATTATATATAAATTAGGTACTGTACATATAATTATATATTAATTATATATAAATTAGGTACTGTATATATAATTATATATTAACTTAATTTATTGTAACTTTATTATAATTAAATATATATTTTTCGCCGTCTAGCGTCACGCTACGGCGAGTTAGGCGACCTATCGTCTGTCCAGTACTGTAATTTTATACATTTCTTGTGAAAGAAACATTTCTTATTTAACGGCCATAAAAATTATTTATATTAAGGATGTCTCCAAAGGTCAACGAAGTTTTCGCAGAAAAATAATATCAGAAATCGCGGCCGCNGAAATTAAAAGTTTTAATTTTGAAGTAACGACTCTTATACAAAATATAGAAACTGCATCTCCGCTTAATATTCTACAGGTTCTTCATGATTTTGGTTTAATTGAGTCTTACCCAAATATCACTGTCAATGTCGCTTTTCGAATATTTCTAACTCTTCCCGTTTCTATTGCTTCGTGCGAGAGAAGTTTTAGCAAGTTAAACTTAAAAATTATTTAAGATTAACTAGCGGACAAAAACGATTATCCAATATTTCTATTATTTCAATAGAATACAATATCGTTAAAAATATTAATTATGAAGGTGTAACGAAGCCAGAAAAATTCAATTAAAATAAATCTTATTAAAAATCTATTGTAATGTATTTGTTTTATTATTTTCCCAAAACCAAATAAATTAAGGGGCCTAAATGCAAATTCTTGCACAGGGCCCAGGAATGGCTAGTTACGGCTCTGAGAATGTGTTTAGGAAAAGTTATGCGAGTTAATCAAAATAAGCACTTTTAATTTTCAATAAAATAAGAATGAAATCATGAAGTAACTATTTCTACTTAGACGAAAACCAGTTTCGATTCAGCCATCCTTTCTTTTCTGTATCAAATTTACTATTCTTGGTAACGGCTGTGGCTGTCGTCGTGGCACTCTCTTTGACAAAATTTGTCGAACTCGTAGATTTATCACTTAAATCTTCATCAAAATTCACTTCGTGACGTCGTTTTGATTCCGTTTCAGAATTCGAATTTTCCGTTAATCCTTTCTCTCTTCCATATTCGGGAGCAGTCACGATTATATGTGAAGGAATGTGAATATCCTCGCACTCTTCGTGACCGTAGTAACATATTTTCATGCCTTTCTTATTTGTTTTGATAATGGGAAATTGACTTTGCAGATTTCCCTCCATTTTATCTGAACTCTGCAATTTCCTCGATTTATCTTTTTTCGGGGCTTCTACGATTACGCGCGCGTTTAAGTGAATTTTATCGCATTTTTCATGGCCATGATAACAGATATCTTTCCCATGATCCGATAAAGCGTATTTCTTGGTTTTGCTAACGTTTAATGATTTTCTATTAGTTTTCTGGAAAGAAGCATTGTCAGCGTGACTTCGAATATCTTTCTGTTGAGTAACTTCACTTCGATGAGATCCGGCCATGAGCAACATTGGCTGATCCAGTGTTGAATGTTGCTGCTGTTTCTGTGTATGAGGTTGCGCAGAATCTTCCAAAACAACTTTCTGAGTAGAAGAGTAAGAAGGGGTTCTCGCCGATACTTCGAAAGGTTCCCAACAATCTACTTCTACTACAGTGTGGTTGGATTTAGAAGGCAAAATTACTATTGTTGGTCTTATTGCCTGGTTGTCATCAGTACAGAAACCTTCAGAAACCTCACCTTCTATAATTTCTCGTTTCGAAAACTGTGATGTTTGAGGAATGAAAACTATCGGTTGAGTTTTTTCATTTGTAGCATCTTTATGAAACTTATTTAGATCATCATAGCTTGGAGGGAAAATAAATACTATCGGCTTATTTTTAACGGAAGGAGGTAGTGTTTGAATTGTTTCTTCTGCCAATTTACTCCACTTTTTTTCTTCCGGATTCTTCATATGTTTTATCTGTTTACTTAACTCTTCCTTTCCTGAAGCAATTAACACAGTTGATATGCCACTTTCAGTTCTCGAATAGTAATCATCTTTTGACTGCTCTTTAGCAGAAACAGCAATAACAGTGGGTTGGGCATCTGTTTCCAACACTTGTGACATAATATCTTGCATCCTAAATACAAGACTAGACTTTTTATTCGGAGAAATAAATTGTTTGGGTTGTACTTTAGATTTCACAGGAACTTTGACGTTGGAAGATTCACTTTCCGACTCGAATTTCGATGGAGATACCAAAATAACATTAGTATTTCTACTAGAAAGGGGTCTGATAATATCTTCTAGTGGACGAGGATTCTCATCCCATTCGTATTCTGGAGACAGCTGACTTATTTTGAATTTTGCACAGTATCCAGAATTGCTTGTATCAGAATCGGGTTGAACATTAATAGCCATAAGTGACAAATCGCGACTTTTGAAATTAGTGGAATCTACTTTTTCAGTGTCTATTGTCAAAATATGATCGCCCACACGAAATTTCGACTTGGAATCTTTGGAAAGAAAAATAACAGATGGACTTTGATCTTGTTCTGATTTTTCAATCTGAGAACCTTTGTCGTCGTCGCTGATTAATTTCTGAGAAGCAAAAATGTTTTTTTCGTTTTTTGTTTTTGAATTTTGTCGTGTAATTTTGGCATTTTTTTCAGCTTGAGAAGTTTTTCTTCCTGAAACTCGATGGTTTACCTTTTTTCCAACATGCAATATATTATCGGAATGTGTCATGACATTCGCAAAAGGTACGAAATCACTATCAAAACACTTCGAATGATTTCGAGAAAATGTATTCGCTTCCAATTGTGATTTAAATTGTTGTTTTTCAAATTCAATAGATTCTTTCGAATTATTTTCTACTTTCAAGAAATTTGAGGATTCTTTCTCCTCCTCGTTTAAGGAAAAATCACATTCGTGGCTACAGTCTTTCTCGTGAATTAATAAATCAGTAAGAACTAAAACCAAATCTTCTATTAATTTTTGTTCTATTTTATTATTTACATCCTTATCTAATTGATCATTTTCAATAGAAATATTTTCATCTTCACAGAAATGTCCCATACTAGAATTATGAGAATCCTTACAGGAAAGCATTTCGATATCCATAGAGTAATTATTAGTGTTCGTCTCCGTTTCCTTTTTCAAAAATTCTACATTCCGACTTATGAACTTTTCTTCGAGATGATCGTTTTCATCCGAAATTGCTACATTATGAGAAATTTTCTGATTTATTTTCTCGTTTGAAAATTGTTCATTACGATGATCCGAAATTGTTACATTATCATTTCTATTGTAATTTTCTTCAATTTTTTCTAACGAATGAATTTCAACATCATCTTCCATTGCATTTTCTTCTTCAAATTTACCATGTTGAATTTTTTTGGATTTTTCTTCATTTATGAAATAGCCATTTTCTTTTAAAGATGATAAACTCGACGATATTTCATTTAATTCCGTCTTCTAATTTACGTTTAATAATAAAGGATATGCGTAAATTTGAAATCAATGTGGATCTTATCCTTAAAGTAATTATAATCTTACCGTATCATTAGATGGCTTCGATTTAAATCGGTGCTTCATCCATTTTAAAAAACAGTGTTTTGTGCACTTCTGAAAATTTATTTTAAAACTTTCGAGAATCAGAATATTATAAAATTTGAGAGGTTTTAAAAGTAGAATCTTAATCTGCTTTCGTTCTAGAAAATAGATTATGATTCTACATTTGTCAGTTATATAATTTACCAATTGTACCTTCTCGTTCTCAACATTTTTGTTAATTCTCTTCATTATCTTCAAGATATTTCCCAATTAAATTATTTGTTTAAAAAATAAAATCGAATTATTAGAACCAAATATGGAAATTTATAGAGATTTGAAAATTCTAATAATAATCTGATTTCGCCAGATTATTATTAAAATTATTAACGTGTATAACAATATATGAAAAGAAATTATTAAAACTTCTTACGTGCTGTAATAAACGAAAAGAAAAACATTCTTTTCATTAAAAAAATAATAATAATAAAATTAGAACGATTTATTTACGATTTATTCTCATAATTTCATAATATTTGTAAGTACAGTATACGAGAGTGTGCAAAGTTTAACCGTGCTCTGATTTTTCAATTTGAGATCGTTTCTCGTCATCGCTAGTTAATTTCTGTAAAGCATAAATGTTCTTTTCATGTTTTGTCTTTAAATTATGTTGTAGAATTCAATGAATTCTGGCGTTTTCTTGTCCATGCAAATCTCTTTTTTTTTCTGAAAATCACATCACTCCAATATATTGCAATGAATTGGGTTGATGGAATAAGGCAATGAAACACATGGACGATCTGCCAATGAAAGTGCCACCTGGGAAGACTTCATGTGGCCAGCATACGCACGACCGCGACCAATTGCCAGTGTTGGATGGTTTTATCCACACAGTCATTGACTGGAATTTTTCAGGACAATCGAAAGGATACGAAATCATCGACTCCGTGTATGACTTGTCGGCCTTTGTCAAATCCATGATGGACATGGAAAAAAGGGTCCTCTTAATGCCCGCAGGGCGGATAGAGTTCTTTTTAAATCATTCTGAAATTCTATATCTTTTTTGTAAATGATAAAAACAATCAAAAGTATAAAAAGAAAGAAAACAATCACCCACCAGCCCAAGACCTGGAGACGGGACTGCTCATCTTAATCTTCTCTTGGAGATCTTCGGCCACAAAAGAGACCATATCTCCATCTACAGTAACCATTCCCTGAAGTTCCGAAAGCCCGCTGGTATCGCTTCCACCTCCTGTGCAAGAGAATTCTGAACTGAGCGAAGGAGAACCTTCCAGACTCGTAGTCTGACTGTCCGAAGTCTGCTGACATTTATTCTGTAACCTCTTCCATGGTTCTTCGCCTTCACCTACAGAAAATGTCTTTTCTATTCCCTTTTCTAGAACTAGACTTGTGGGCCTTTTATCTCTTGTTTCAACTGTGGGATTACCTTCGTCGTCGCTTTTCCTTTCACTTTTGGATCTCTTCTTAACTTCTTCACTATCTCCAGCATCTCTATCCAATGATATCTCGCCGTAAGAGCCTGCCATGATATCAACCGAGATATCATCGTTGTATTCTTGATCTTGGTATCTTCCATCAGCTGGTCTCTCCACATTTTCGCTCTCGTTCTTTTCCAAACTAATTTTAGTGTTAAAGTTGGACGCGTTGTCCAACGACATACAAACAATTTCTTCTGAATTCATGGATTACTTACGGCAGCATTTAGATGATCATTCAAAGACTGCATTTCTGTTTGTTTACAGAAAAAGAAATCACACTCGCTACACCGATATAAGTCGTCATTTCGGAACAGCGACATCTTTAGTCGTAAGTTCGCTCGTTTTAATAAATCAAAATCGAAAATTATAAAATATATTCCTTCTTTTTCGTCTTCTGTCTGTTTCATATAAAATATATTTAATTAGATTTNGACTTGTCGGCCTTTGTCAAATCCATGATGGACATGGAAAAAAGGGTCCTCTTAATGCCCGCAGGGCGGATAGAGTTCTTTTTAATTTAAAAAAAATAACTACAACTAAAATAAAGAAAAAATTAAATAATTTTCTAATGAGTTCCTAAATTGTCCAGACCGCCTTACACCTTTAGTTATAAATCATGCAACCTTCCGCTTTAAAAAGAGAAACATTAGTTATATAAGTCCGGCATATAAGCATTTATTTGAAATACAGTATTTCAAATTGAAAAAAAAAAAAAATGTAACTTACTACAGAACGTCGTTTCAAAACTAAAAAATAGTTTAAGCATTATATCATTAAAAAAAAGAAAGAAAACAAAAACCTGAATTTCCTTGACGTATGAAGCAACAGCATTTGATCTTTATGAGAATTTTCTATTTGTCACGATGGAATGATACTTCAAAACTGGAAATAATCATTAAGGAACGTTATCATTTTGACGATCCTAAAGCAGTAATTTTTATAATGATATCATGATAACGTTCATCATCTCTGTAATAACTAAAACATGATACAATAAATATACATAATTACTAGTGATGTAACGAATATTCGGTTACTATTCGGTATTCGGCCTATTTTTCACTATTCGGCCGAATACCGAATATTTAATCACTATTCGGCCGAATACCGAATACCTAAAAACAGGAGTAATAAATAACAAAAACACAGTAAATTAATCATTTTGGTACTTAGATTTAATGTTATCGAGTTAGTGTTGTTTGTTTATATTTATTTATAACTTGTAACATGCACAAAATAAAAAAGAAAATAATATTAGTCACATGTATTCACAATTTATAATTACAAAGATCAGCACACGTACACGTCTATCGTTGGAGAATCCTCGCACATCTGAGGGTCTGACCCTGCCTATCCTTCTTTTTAAGCGCTCGTCTTTGCTCTTCCCTTTCTCTTTCCTCTATCGCTCTAATCCATGTATGCCTGTGCATACATCATAATACGCGCTCACGATACTTTCGATTCGTCACTTTTCCGTCGTAGAGTTCCCATTTTACAATTACGTGACTCAGCCTGGTGATAACGGAGAAAAGAGACAGATAGGACGTCGATATAAGTCACAGTTATGATTTCACAGATTCGAGACAGCTTGATAGCCCGAACGGCCCCAGGCTTTCGCCCGTGCACGCTAAGTGACTTTCATTACAAGCATTTAGCTTTCCGAAGTCTATGACAACAATTGTTTGGCATTGACGGCCGCGAATTTCGTGCCAATAAGCTGCCTCGACTTGTTCGATTATGTTATCAACTCAATTTCATATTTATTTTCACATTTTCACTTCGCGGTCCTTCTCTGTTCTTTTTCCGTTATTTACAAGTGTAGGTCATTTGATATCATCATTTATCACATACTTCCATGACACTCTTGTCTGTCGGCTACAACTGCCAAGAATTAACGCGATTGGCGAAGCGTAGTGACAGCGAACCAATAGAGAGCAGGATCCTTGCCATAATGCGGTTTGCGCGCCAATTTTCGTACGTGCGTTAATCAAGCCGAATAGTTTGGCCGAATATTCGGCTATTTGGCCACGCTCCTGGCCGAATATTCGGTATTCGGCCTGAGGCCGAATATACTATTCGTTACAACACTAATAATTACTTATCCAAAAATTGTAATTTATATTTCATAGCTTACATTATATTCTTTGAAACAGCATCTCAAAAATTCTCTTTTAAAATATAATTAATTCAATGTAAAATAATTACTTTAGTTATATTGATAAATGAAACAAAAACAAAATTTTTTCTTCTATTTATTTTCAAAATAATGCGACATTTTCAATATAATAGGAATGAATTAACGTTCATTTCAGAAACAACTATATAGTTAAATAATTTTATTTTTAAATGTATCTATCAAATCAATATTTAATATTTTTGATATTTAAATAAATATAAAAAATTCGAATTATATATACAGATTCCTGGAACATATTTTAAATCAATAAACAAATTTAGTGCCTATGAACAGAATTTTTGATTCATTACAATAATTATAAATTTAAGTATAACTCATTAAATATTAACATTTAAATTATTAAATATTAAAATAATAATAATAATCAGTAGTTCTTAAAATGGAAATGCTTCCTATACTCCCACAGAAAAAGTTAGTTTTCTATTTAAAGGGATAGAGAGTCCTCCAATGTTCTGTTCATGTCTCCTCTCCCATCTAGGTTTAGGTATAATTAAATAATTAAGGAAGAAAATTCATCTATGCCCATTCATCAATGTAAAGATATTAAGGTCTTGGTTAGACAACAGAAAAGATAAATAATTATAGATTTAAATTTAATATTGTTACATTTTTATTAAAGTCTTATAAAAGTAATTCTGTTTTTAATGAAAAAGAGGGGAAAAAAGATTTTAAGTTCTACCAAAGGGAGAAAGTATATTCTCTCAAAGAGGTGTATAGCATTCTTATAGAGAGTTTGCACTCCAGATTAAAAATTACAGATTTTAAATGTGTCTGTTCGATACCTAACAATAGTTTATTTTTCAACTAGCAATAATTGTGCCATAATAGTAATTAGTTTGTGCAGAAGCAATACAATATTTCCTAAATAATTAAACATTCTATTTAAAGTGTGACTTGCAAACATTTTATAAAAATTTATTGAATTTATAAATACAAAATTTCTATCTTCAGTGTTCATTACATAACACATGTACAGTATTTTTTAAGTATACACAAGTCTTGTACTTGAAATTATTCTTTTTCCACAACATAAAACTGAAGCTAAAAAACCAGAATAAAATAAGCATATTATTTTACAGATCAATTAAAACAAATTTATAAATAATTTGAGAATTTTAAAAACTGTACCATATTTTGCATATTGATCAGCATGCCAGTTTAAGTGAAGTCATACCAAGTAATTATGTATTGTAAATATTGTAACCCTTCTCATTCTCATACAGAATTTATTTTGCTGGCTATTTACTGGTATCATAGAGAGAATTTTACTTTTCTACAGGCAAGATTTGGTGGGGTCGGGTGTTATACGTATCAATCATACCTGACATAAAATATTTACTTTGGCTAAGTAATGTAAAGAGCATCTATCTACACAGATAAGGTAGTCTTAGTACTTTAAGGTACGGTTACTAAAAGAGGGACAAACTTTATGTCATTTATTTATTCATTCATTATTCAATTGAATAATATTTTTTTTGTTGTTAGAGATTGAGAATCTTTTATCCAAAATGCTTGGGACTGAAAGTGTTTCAGATTTTGGTACATTTGTAAACTTGCATTTGATTTGATTTGATACATATTAGTCTCTCTGGGCTTCTTTTTTATGTCTTTTATTTAGAGATTTTTATTAATTATCAAAATAACAAAAACTTTTCACACATCTATATGAATGTATATTTTTAAACCTACTTAAGATAGACATGTCAAAAATTGATCTGTCCAAAAGGATGCATATTTGTTTAAATTTTGAATGTGTTCTGATAAATATAAGTTAAATGTTGAAACTGAAATACACTCGAAAATACAATCGTCTTTTGTCTTTATATAAGGTTTGTTCAAATGATCACATAAAACATATGATATCACTAGTCACCATAGCAGCACTACAGTATATACAATGTAATGACAAAGTTATGTTATCTGCTATAGGAAACACCTCCTACATTCAGAAACATTTCTCAATGTGGCACAAGTTTGTGTATATCCTCCATACTTTTCATAGAAAGAAGAAAGATGCTGGATGAACCATTCAGTTATAGCTTCATGCACTTTGCTGTCAGACTGGAATCTGTGAGCTTTGAGAAACATTTTTAAAGATCTAGTCCAAAGACATGGAAACAGGCTGACATATTGGGACTGTAAAGCAGATGCTTCATCACTTTTAGATGGAAAGTTCTGTAGCATCTGCCTTACAACCACTATATGTCATCTTGTGAATTCTATGTTTTCAGGCCATTAAAAAAGTTTCACAAAGGTTGCAGATTCCAGTCTGGCAAAGTTTGAGCAGCTGTAACTGAATGGTTCATCCAGCATTCTTCCTATTTCTAGGTGGAAGGTATACACAAACATCTGCTGTGTTGAGACACATGTCTGAATGCAGGAGATAACTTCCTACAGTAACTTTGTCATTATGCTGTATATATTACTATGGTGATCAGTGACACCATATGTTTTATATCGTACAGTCTATGTTTCTTTTGAACAACCCTTATACTTCTCATGAAGTTTATCATCAGGGTGGCCAGAAAAATCATTCGTAACAACTGAAAGGCAGCATTAATTATCTTAGAAACATATATTCTGATTAACCCTCAAGGTAAACCAGTATATAGACTGATTTACACTAGATGTGAGGTAGGTAAATCTGTTATATAAAAGGTATATCAAGATATGTACAGGTATAGCTTTATATCTGGTATAAAGGCATATCTGGAGTCCTTTGTTTAAATAAGCATGCTGCTCAATGTGTGAAAATACAGTATTAAATTAAGCAATTAAAAAGAAATAAAATTAATTATAGAATTACATATAAAAATATTCTTACAGTTCACTATAAATATGAATAAAATATACTTTATATTTTATTAATTATGTAAATATTTTAAGCCGAAATTTTTGTATATTTTGTAACAGATCAAGAAATTAAAATTTGAAATACAGTAATACCCCGACTTATGCTACCCCAACTTACGCGAATCCGAAGTTACGCAATTTTCAAATCTCGTCGATTCATCTTTTGTTTGAGCGCCACGCAACTCTTGATTACTCACTCCCCCCATACTATTGTTCAGCTTACATGTTCAGATGTGTCGCGCAGAATCGACACATAGCTATAATTTATTTTCTGTTATTTATTTCTGTGTTTGTTATATCTACGGAGACTTGAGAGACATCTATGTGATGATTGCTTGTAACCGTAAACGAATCAAAAGCCGAGATAAGATTAACGAGAACATTTATTAGCTTACATACATCCGACTTGGATTTTACATAAATTGCGAAATTATACCCCAACTTACACGAATTCAACTTACGCAGTTATCGCTCAGTCTCACCTATCGCGTAAGTTTGGGGTATTACTGTATTTCAAAATTATGGACCATTAAAAAATCTTGACATAAGTATCAATTAAAAAATCTCATGTCAACATTTTTTAAATGATACTGCAATAACAAAATCTTTAATTATTAATTTTATTTAATATTAATGAAACAATGTTTTAATGTTTTGAAAAATAAGGTTACAACAAATAACTGTTACAGACTCTTTTTAAATTTTTTATTAATTGAAAAATATTTCTAAGAATTTATCATTAGTTAAATCATGTGTAATAAATAAAAATTAAATTACATAAATGTCACAGTATTTAAAATATTATTTAGTATTGATTCTATAAATATAAAAATTCTAATCATATATCTGTATTTACAAAATAAAGTACACAATGATAAATATTTTAAGTTATAAAGCATGCTTTTGCTTTATTTATTAAAGGCATCTTCTGATATAAGCCATTATAACAAATTTCTGTTCCAATTGCTTACACCTAAAGTGACCTTTAACAAACAAAGCAAAAATGCTTGTTTTCCTTTCAAATTGTTTTTTTTTACATGATTTACAACAATGATACTCATACTGGTATATTTACCTTAATTTTTTTATAATCAAACTACAAGATGTAAAAGTCTCAATAAGACTATTATTGCTATTATCAATTTCAACAATGCTTATGAATGTGATGACATTAATCAGTGAGCAAATAACAAATTACACTACCAAAAAACATTGCCAAAATAATGATAAATTTCATAAATTCATAGTTTTGTTTCTGTCTTTTATCTATATAACTTGTATGTATCCTTTGTAAATTTTCATTTGAATGGCAATTATTAAGTTTCTGAAGACAAAGTCTGTCCAAAAAGGAACCACCATTTACAGTAATACCTCGACTTACGCTACCCCGACTTACACGAACCCGGAGTTATGGATTTTCAAATCTCGTCAATTCGTCTTTTGTTTGAGCGCCACGCAACTCTTGATTACTCACTCCTCCCACATTATTGTTCAGCTTACATGTTCGGACGTGTCGCGCCAAATCAACACATAGCTACAATTTATTTTGTGTTATTTATTTCTGTGTTTGTTATATCTACGAAGACTTGAGAGACTCTATATGGTGATTTCTTGCAACTGTGAACGAATCAAAAGATGAGATAAGATTAACGAGAACATTTATTAGCTTACATACATCCAACTTGGGTTTTACACAAATTGCAAAATTATACCCTGACTTACGCGGTTATCGCTTGGTCCCACCTATCGCATAAGTTAGGGGTATTACTGTATTTATCTCATGTTCCAGACTACACACTTTCTTGGCAACTGGCCTTTCTTTTTAGGCTACTGTCACCAGAAGTTAAAAAAGTCCTTTTAAAAAACACAAAAAATATATATCCAATTAAAATTACAAGAATTTCTAAAAAAGGAACTGGTGACATAAATATTTCTTTCTTGTTTCCATCCATACCTTCTTGGGGTTTTTTCAGCTTTTATCGGTCAGTTGCCAAGAAAGTGTGTAGTCTGGAACACGAGATAAATAAATGGTGGTTTCTTTTTGGACAGACTTTGTCTTCAGAACCTTATATATAAGTGTATTATATGAAATTATAAAAAAGCAATGAAATTAATGATGAAGATCGTCAAATTAATTAAAAGTTTCTTTACAAACCAGTTTGTAAAGAAACTTTTAATTAATTTATAATAATGTACTAATAATGTAATAATAATTAATTAATAATGCATGGTCATGTATGTTAATCAACTGCTTTAATAAATCTCGTAATTTATTGAAATAAAGATTGTATTTTAAGATTTACAGATGTACAGTACTTACATATTTTAAAAATTTTCTTAAATTACACAACTTAGTTATACATTTATATTCAAATCTGCAAAGTATTATTTAAGTTCTTACAATTTTTTTTAAAAACATCTGTATGGCACAATTCAGTAAAACTGCATTCATCATAAACTACAAAAACAACCATTCATACCTTTAAATGCAGTGCCAATTTTACTTTTTCTAATTTTTCGGTTGTTTTATCCTGAGGAAGGGTGTTTAAAACAACCAAAAACGTTAGAAAAAGTAAAACTGGCACTGCATTTTAAAGATATGAGTGATTGTGCTCTACCAGAGTAATTATTTAAAAAAAAAAAAAAAAAGCTAATCAGTTTTATATTTAAAAATTAAATATAAATCCTAATTCAATATTTAAGAACTTTAAAATATTTTTTAAAAACATAAACAAATTATGAAATGTAAAAATATGAATAAATCATTTGTATTTACTTTGGCTATCTCTGTATCAGCAGTCTTTATAGGTACAATAACCCCATTTTCAACATCAGATTGATCAAATTCTGCTTCAATCCAAGGAAATTCCTATGAAATAAAACAATTAAATGATTCTCTTCACAGTATAATGTAACTATTTTATTTATAATTAATACAGTTGTATTAAATGAAGATATTTCTTTGCTTTTACACAGTTTTGATAAATATTTTATTCAACATAATTTAAACTTTTGTTAAATGATAATGTCCCATCTTAACTTCAGAAAATACACAAAGTTCTGTTTAAAATTAATTTAAAAGTTACTTCAACTCAAAAATGAAAAATTGTTGTTTTAAATCATATAATATGAATGTATTCAGAAACACTACTTTGTTTCTAAATGGATACTTTGAATTGAATGATATATGGTTAGGTCTTTTTTTATGTAGAATATTTACATTTCACAAAAACACAAATTTGAACATGTGAATGGTTAGGTTAAGGTTAAGGAAATCATTCATTAGTTTTGAGATTTACTGATACATAAAATAAACAATAACTACTATTATATAATATAATTTTTAAAAACTTTTAGCTTAGTTATTAGGACATAACAAGTTCCAAACTGGCATAAACTGCAGAGTAAATATTTTTTCTAATTTTAATTATCTTATTTATTCAGTCCTACTGCATTATACACTTATATTCACTCTCTTGCCACATATTGCAAAACATTTCATAATAAATTTTAGCACAGGAGTCTCCAAACTGTATTTTTAATTCTTCCAGTGTTTTTGGCAGCAGGACATAATTATTCTTTCACAAAATCTCACAAAAAGAAATCTAATAGAATAATATTAGGCAATCTAGAAAGCCATTCCCTAGAGCAACGGTGGGCAACCCCCGGCCCGCGGGCCAATTACGGCCCGCAAAGAGTTTCTATCCGGCCCGCGAGATGTTTAGAAGAAATTATAAATAAATATTTTTCGATGTAATTCGTCTAGTTTAAATTGAATATTATTTTCTGAAGTGTTGCGGCAGCAATGACAGGAAAAAATAAGGGAGTCATTTCTTTATTCAAACAAAAAATGGGAGAACAGAATTTTTCTAAATTATATCTCATCGCATCATCCATCAAGAAAATCTATGTGCAAAAGCTATGCAATTAGAAAATGTAATGTCTGTCGTATCCAACTACATAGTGCTGTTTTTATTGTGTTTAAGTCACTTAAATTTTACAAATAGGTGAGCCGTTCACAGCCCGGCACACGCATTTGTAAAATCTAAGTGACTCATACAACATGGAATTCATATAAAACGGAATAATCAACAGTGTTATAGGGGGGTCGACTGTAGTAATTAATTTATTTTTATTTATTTATTTCATATTTGCAGACTAAAAATTTACAGGTCACAAGGTGTCAATTAACTACTATGGCCCGCGGAAAAAACGTAAAATGTATTCTGGCCCATGTTATAAAAAAGGTTGCCCACCCTTGCCCTAGAGCACTTTACCTGATCCAATGTTGATAATAATATTGATAAAGTATGCCTTCACATCATTACAGACATGCAGTGGGACACTACTGAAAAGTCAGATTTGGAATGTTTTCCTCCAGCTATGGCATTAACTGTTCATAGAGCATGTCCAAGTACACCTGATATTACCAGGCACTGTGGATTTGATGAAGGGTCCATACAATTTTACTTGGTGGCAAAGTCTTGCAATTTAGTGCTACTTAAAAACTTTGAAGTTTTTCTTAAATGTAGTCATTATATCAAAGCAACCAACTACAAGTAAAAAAAGTATTTAACTTGAGAAGAACATTAAGGACATCACATTTTGGTTCCTTAAATGTAAGTAGCAAAATACCTTTTTCGGAAATCAAAAATTCACAAAGTTTAAACAGCTGTAGAAAATGACTAATTGGCTTTATAAACAGACTGGTGACAATTTTCAGATACAATGAAGCTTTTGTTGATGTCACAATCAAGTTAATTTAAGATAATTCCCACTCACACTAATTAGTAAAAATTGGAACAGTATTATTTTTATATTAAGCAGAAAAAATGTCTGCAACTTCTTTCTTACAAGATACTCTAGAAAACTCTTAAAATTTCTCTTTCTGAGAGTTCAAATCACTTATATAAGCTGTACAATTTCCTCTTACTATAGGTTATATTCTTAATGTCTTCTGGCCATTATAGAATTTAACAGTTTGGATTATTCAGAAATTTCAATGTCGTCTTTGCATAGAAGCCAGTATTTTAGCAGCAGCTTGTTGGGTTGAACTTTCATTATACGAAAAAGTTTTTGCATAAAAAAAAATTATCTGATCCCATTTTTAAACTGTTCAATGTCATAAAACTGGGTTTATTGTGATATATTTACTTATAATAAATTATTTCACAAAATTTCTTTAAAGATACTCAAAGCATATTTTACATTTAATTTTCATATTCTATTGATATTAAATGGACTATTATTTCCTTCAAATTTGACATCAAAACATCATTTCCACACTAATTGGTAAATGGCACCAATATACTTTTATTGCCACCTTTCTTCATCCCTTGCCTATATCAAGACAATAATAATGAGTAATACTACTGATAATAATAATAATAAGTATATTTTTAATCTATTATTAGCATCTTTGCATATATATGTAACTATTGATTTACATGAAATCAATATAACTTATGTAAATTGAGAATAACATTTATATAGAAAGTGGAAGAATAGGTTCTATTTTTTATTAACTGTTATAACATGAATGAAAATATTTCATTTTGTTTCTTCTTCACTTGTTGATAAAGAAACAATTTTTCTCTTCTTTTTTCTTATATCACCTCTATACTAACTTCAATCCAAGTTTCTTTTTTTATTTTTTTTTGTTATTAAAGTGATCTTAGTAATAGTTCCTGATAGTCTTATCTTAATAAAATCTATTACTAAAGCTTTTTGTTTACTACTATTCAATTTTTGTTCTTTATTGATATTGAACTAAGTTTAATCATATGATGTGAAATCATGACATAATAGAAAATGGATAATCACATCTCTTTGAAAATGAAAACTGAAAGTAGCAATGACAGAAATATATCATCGCAATAGTTAGCATAGGCCTAAACATTAATTTTATCAATGGAAAACTTAATTTTAAAATAAAATATAGAAGAATATTTTAAAGTACCTGTTAAATAGAAATTCTATCAGTAAAAATAAATTTTGTTAACTTTTCCAACTGTGTAAAACAGTATTGTTTTATCAAGTAAATTGAGTAGTATTATGTAAATTGAGGGTTACATGTATATGGTATGGACATATTAATAAGAAGTAATCAAAAATTTGAATAAAAAAATTTTTTTTCTATATAGCCTGGAAGTGATAGTGGCTGTACAGCAGTTGTTGCTGTCATCCATGGATCACAACTTTATGTAGCTAATGCAGGAGATTCCAGATGTGTTGTAAGTCGTCTTGGAGAAGCTATAGAGATGTCTTCAGATCATAAACCTGAAGATGAACTAGAAAGAAAGAGAATAGAAAATGCTGGTGGTCATGTCACTATAGATGGCCGAGTAAATGGAGGATTAAATCTTTCTCGGGCTATTGGTAAATAATAGCTTTTTTATGCTTTTATTTCAATAATTAATAAAATTNTTTCTTATATCACCTCTATACTAACTTCAATCCAAGTTTCTTTTTTTATTTTTTTTTGTTATTAAAGTGATCTTAGTAATAGTTCCTGATAGTCTTATCTTAATAAAATCTATTACTAAAGCTTTTTGTTTACTACTATTCAATTTTTGTTCTTTATTGATATTGAACTAAGTTTAATCATATGATGTGAAATCATGACATAATAGAAAATGGATAATCACATCTCTTTGAAAATGAAAACTGAAAGTAGCAATGACAGAAATATATCATCGCAATAGTTAGCATAGGCCTAAACATTAATTTTATCAATGGAAAACTTAATTTTAAAATAAAATATAGAAGAATATTTTAAAGTACCTGTTAAATAGAAATTCTATCAGTAAAAATAAATTTTGTTAACTTTTCCAACTGTGTAAAACAGTATTGTTTTATCAAGTAAATTGAGTAGTATTATGTAAATTGAGGGTTACATGTATATGGTATGGACATATTAATAAGAAGTAATCAAAAATTTGAATAAAAAAATTTTAGCATGTTAAATTAAATATTTTATTTAATAATTTAAATACTTTATTTAATAAACATTAAAACTTATAAAGAAATGTTAATAGATATTAAGAAAGGAAAACAAATAAGAATTTTGTATGACTTACAATTTCTGTAATGTTTTTTAAATTCTATAATTAATTTTGATTTAAAGAATTCCTAAAATTAAGCTATAATTTGTAAATTTTATTACATTTAATGAATAAAATATAACAATTATTTTAATGCAATTTAATACAGTTAATATTTACAATATTAGGATTAAAACTTTTGCACATTAAATTTGAGTTTACTAAATTTGCATGTAAAGAAAAAATATTTGAATGAAAATATAAAACTTTAATTTCTTTAAATTATGTATTTTGTAGCTTGATTCAAATATTCTGAAATAAAATATAAAAAAAAAGAAATTAAATCATTTTCTGTTTGGTCCTTTAAATGACTTGTATTTCTGCCACATGAATTGCTGACAATACACAAGGGATTACTCTTGAACTAGTATTGCTTTGACAGTCACCAAAACAAAAGATAGTTGTCAAGAACACATAAGCAATAAGAAAAAAATGTGAAAACACAAGTATTATTTAGTCTTATTACATGAAAACGTGTACTTTTGGCAGCACAGATCTTTTAAGATAACAAATAATTTATTACTTATTATAATTATTTAAAATAAATTGATTATACTGTACTTTTCGTTTTTTAATAAAAATGCTACATTCTGAGCAAGTTGAAACTACATATAAATACAAAATAATTTTTCAAATTTTCATATTCAATTCTTGATATTTTTGATGTATTATGTGAAGGTGGCCATATTAATTCAAACATAATATATACTTATATTAATTAAAATATTTTTTAAAACTCTTCCATAATAATTTAAAATTTATTTATTAAAAAAATGAATAAAAACAAAATAATTATTATTCACCTGTGCTGAATTATCATCAGAAACTGCTAAAGAAATTGCAGTCATCTGTTTGGTATGTACAAATATTCTGAATGTATTTTCTGAAAATATAAAACATATAATGCATTATTATTTCATGAATATGAAGTTAATATTAATGCAAAAAACACATTATAATAAAAATACTTCATTTTTATTTTTTACTATTTATAAGTACATGTTTGTTTAAATAGTGAAGTTAATATTAAGTAACACTAGATACTATTTGTCATTTATCAAAAAAGAAAAAAACTAAAAATAAAAAATGTTATAACTATTAAATATTTATTATACCCACAAAAAGTGATTCTAAAAATTAGACAAAATTTCTTTAGTTGTATTTGTTAAATTTTGTTTTAAAAATTCATATTTGTAGTGTATACAAATTAAACTTTTTAAAACAGGCCAACAAGTTATTATTGTATGTTTAAATTGGTTAATAAGGTCAAAAATATTTGTTTCCTTGACCAACTAGTTAGTAAAGCAAATAAATTCTAACTTAAAAAGGATTGATTAGACAGGGAAAAAAGAAAAATCTTTTACTAAAAAATAATTTCTATAATAAATTTATTTACCATCAGAATTTGATTCTAAAATTCCATCGGATATATTAATTTTTAAGCATAAAGCTCTTAATGCCATTTCAACATCAATCAAGCTAAAGTCTTTCCTATAGAATAAATATTTACTTTTTAATGTAATATCGGTTAAAAGCATATTATTATTTAATAATATATACCTAAAATGAATATTAATATTATTTTATTGATTTATTTTTTATCTCTATTTGATTAAAGAATACTGAAGTAATAAAAAAATATATATATACCATCTAATGACTAGCTTTTTAATTTAAATTAGCAGAAATAAAAAAACACAATTAATTAAAAGCAATCTAATTAAAAAGTTTTTAATGTTGTTGTTATTATTATTATTATTATTATTAAATTAATTAATTAATAGCTTTTTTAAAATAAAGTAATTATAATTGAATACATCAATCACTCCAAAACCTTTCCTTGCCTTTTTTAAATTATTTGAATTTTATTTTTAAGATTTTGTATTATTATAAAAATGTTTCAGTTTCTGAATCATTTATACATCATTTGCAATGACATATTCAACTAATCAAAAGTTATAGTTTAGCAACTTTTTATCATCTTTTATTTAAAAAATTAATGTAAATTTATGAAAAGAATTCATATAATTTTAATTTTGTTAAATAGTAATACTATATAATTAAGTAGATAAAAGCCCACCTCAATAAAACATTGTTAAAAGAAAGATTCAAATTTGTAAATGAATAAAGAACAAGTCTTAAGAAATTTTGCTGTCAGATATACCAACAAAGATAATAGAGTACATTTTATTAAAATTTAAATTATATTCAAACACAAATAATGACACTGAAAAAACTATGAATAATTATTTTAAAAAATCATTACATCATACATAAGATAAATATTAATGATCAATGAATATTCAGTTACTATTTGGTATTCGGACTATGTTTTGCTATTCGGCTGAATACCAAATATGTAATCACTATTCGGCCGAATACTGAATACCTAAAAAAGAAGTAAGAAATAACAAAAACACAATAAATTAATCATTTTGATAACTTTTATTAATGCTGAACATGCATTTCAAGTTCAAGAAAGCACAATTTTTTGCTTATTTATGTAAAAGATCAAAGGAAAAGTAATATAACTAATTTATTTTTTTAAGAGATGAAATAAAGGTAACAAATCAAATGAAAACTACCTACTTATTATGTAGTTTAGTCATCTATATACTTGTATATAAAAGAACAAGTCCTGATAGGATAATTAATACAGAGCCAAAACTACTGGTGCTAGAAACTTAAAAATTTGAGGGTGTGTTCCTTTCGTAAAGTTTAGGCGTGCTAAGAAAAGATTTTACAAAATTCAACCCTAAAGGAGTGAAAAGAGTAAAAAATTTGTATGAAAATTTTTACTGCGTGGGCACATTAGATCGAAACTTAGGTCATAAAATGTGAAAAAAATAATAATTAATGATCTGTAAAGCATTTTTATGAAATCATCCCCCTTATTATAAACTTGAAAATTAAATTAATGTTTTTGTTTCATTGTAGAAAATTATTTATCATAACTGAAGTTCCAGACAGCTTGGTAGCCTGAATGGCCCCAGGCTTTTGACTGTGCATGCTAAGTGACTTTCATTACAAGCATTTAGCTTTCCGAAATCTATGAGAACAATTATTTGGCATTGACGACCGCAAATTTCATGCTTTGACTTGTTCAATTATGTTATCAACTCAATTTCACATTTATTTCCACATTTTCACTTCGCAGTCCTTCTCTGTTCTTTTTCTGTTATTTACACGTGTAGGTCATTTCATTGTTATCCACATTTCATATCATCACTTATCACATACTGCCATGACGCTCATGTCTGTCTGCTACAATTGTCAAGAATTAATGCAATTGGCAAAGTGTAGTGACAGCGGGCCAATAGAGAGCAGGGTGCACGATCCTTACCATAATGCAGTTTGTGCACCAATTTTCGTACGTGCGTTAATCAAGCTGAATAGTTTGCCTGAATATTCAACTATTTAGCAATGCTCTTGGCTGAATATTCAGTATTCAGCCTGAGGCTGAATATACTATTCGTTGCATCACTAATAAATATGGAAAAAACATATAATAGTATGATAATTAACAATAAAGAAATGTAATTAAAATGTTTGGCATTTGGAAATAAAAATTTCAAAATTTTGTTTTATAAATTAGTTATTTTTCCATGCTGATATTATATTTGATGTTTATGAAATAAATAAGTGGGTATTATTTGAGCCATTCACAGGTCAATTCGATTAATTCCATTTGTAAATCCTTAATATAATTGTTAATATTTTCAAATTTTTCGTGTAACAAAATTTATATGTATTATTATATATTGAATTATATACAGAATGTATTATTATATATTGTTATATTAAAGCATAACTTTAATATAACAATATATAATAATACATTCTGCAATGTTTATTTAAATTTAAAGTTTAAAAATAATTTTAAAAACTAATTTATATTCTTAATTTTTATACTTTTTGTTTTGTGGAATTAGATTTGGCAAGTGATCATCTCAAATCAATCATTACTTACTATTTTTGTAGTTTTAAATATCAATTATTACAAAAACGTTTATTTATAAATATAAAATACTTAGAAATTTTAATAGCATATATAAATTAATTAATTTTATACTAATTGTTAATGTAATAATAAAATGTATACTATTAATTACTATACAAATATAATAACTTAAAATTTTTAAAATATGAATTATATTTACTGTAATTCTTTATCTGAAGGAATATCAATATCAAAAACAAAATGTTTTAATGGTTTATCTTTGCAATTTAGAATTGAAATGACTATTTTTTCTATTTCATTTTTCTTCAGCAATTTATGAATGGTCGTTATACTGTTTGTTATGTAAGCACATACAGCTGGATGCAATGACATCTAAAACAAAATAAATTATAATATTTATAAGAAAAATTTACATGAAAAATCTTATAACAATTAGTAATACTGTAGTAACAATATAAAGTCAAATAAAATAAAATTTCTAATAAAAACAATTTAAGGTAAAATTTTTATTAAAAATTACTAGGGACCAGATTTTTATGTAAAATTGTATTTTTTTTCTTGAAAGATATTCCACATAATATGAATAAAAAACAAATTTTGGGTGATGCAGGAATCTTAATTAAGGAATTATGAAAGCATGTTTGAAAGATTAGAGCATATTTCTCCCATTTTCTCCATAACAGCATAATCTATACTAATATAATAAAGAGGTAATGTTTGTATGTTAGTTTGGATGTACCGGGTAATCTCCAAAACTACTCATCCGATTTCAAAAATTTTTTCACCAATATTTAGAATGGAACTTCAGGATGGACATAGGCTGTATATTATTCCGTTAAACATGGGGGATGGACAGTTCTTTACGATAAGCCTTCCCCGTAAGGCTTACCGTAAAGAACTCTGCTTCTATTTATACTATTTTAGATGCGGTTTTTTGCATTTTTGATTGC